GTCCTCTTCAGTTTCAGCAAGCAGGGTTGTGTCATCTGCATAATGCAGATTGTTGATAAATCGTCCAATTCTTGCATTTGTGAACCCCTCCCTCCTGAGTCAAGCAGAAGGTTTTCAATAAAAAGAGCTTGGCTTCACTTGCATTGAATTCTCTTTGTGATTCACTTCCTGATAATTTTCAATAAAGATACAGAGAAGCTTGGCTTGGGGTCTTCAGTCAAGAACTGCTGGCCCCCTGTTTTATGTTCTCTGCTCTATCACATTCCTGGCTGTTTGTCTCTTTATTAATAATTATAAAATTATTCCATTCTTTGGGACCCTTGGTCTGCAACACAGAATCTGACAAACTATTTGATTGTAAAGGGTGGAATGCAGCTCCACCCATTTTAATTACATCACAGATGTAGGAAAATTGAGTACAATGTGTAACCCTTTTATCTCTTTGCCTTGGAGTTAGGCCAAGGCAAGGAGATCTACCAGGAACACCCAGCCTACATATTTTTGCTGGAGATAAAAGGACTTTTCCTCAGAATCAACACAGAGAGTCTCCAACTAGAGTTAGTACCAAGAATTTAAACTTCTATCTTATTAACCTGTTATTGTTGTTGTTATGTGCCATCATGAACTTTATGCACAATAGCTCTGAAGCCTGCCCTGTCCTGAACCAGTCTCACTCACCAGTCACACTGCCCTAGTTACTATATGTATCAAAACATCTCATCCAGGGTCTTCCTCTCCTACTCTGTCTCTCCACCCTTCTGAGCATGATGTTCTTCTCCAAGGATTGGTCCCTCCGGGCCATGTGCCCAAAGTACATGAGACAGAGCTTCAAAATCCTAGCTTCCAAGGAGAAACTTGGTTTCACCCTCCATGATATGTTCTCCAAGGAGTCCATGTTTACATGCAAGACTCTTCTCCAGTACCACTGGGCCAATTGGCAGCACCATGATGGATATAGAAGAGATTGCGTTTGGTAACAGTTACAGCTTGCTCAGCTTCTCAATCAACACTTTTAGCACCAGCAGTCAGAAAATCAAAAGACAAATTGCATTAGCTAAATCTGCTGTTAGGGAACTTTCCTGAGTATTGAGAAGCAACAATGTCAGTCTAGAGATTAAGGTGTGCCTGATCCAGTCCATGGTTTTCACAATTATTTACTAAACTGTAAGAGAATAAATTTGTTTATTAACACCTCTGTTTATTAAAGATACACTTGTGGATCTCTGTTATAGCAGCACTAGAGAACTAAGGCACACAGATACCCCAATACCAACTAGAAAGAATAAGAATGTTTAGTTCTTCTCTCAAATCAAGATCATGACATCTAACCTGAAGGACTATCAAGGAGAAACTAATTCCAGTTTAAAATGAAATACAGACTAAGAACCTCAATTGCTGTTATTGTTGTGTATCGTTGAATCAGAACTGGCCCATAACTGACCATCCAGTGGATTCTCGGAGGCAGTTAATCAAATTAATGGGAAGAGATTGTCCATCCTTCTCCAGCTGGTGGATTTGAACCGTGTGATTTTGGATTGCAGTGCAGCTTCTTACCACTAGGCCACCAGAGCTCCCCTATCTCAACCCTCATCTTCAGGTCCTAACTGCTCTAGAGCCTTCCAACTGAGTCAAGTTATTGACAGCCAACTCATCATTGAAAAACTATTTTATGCAACAATGAATGAATGAAAACCCAAAATCTCTGTAAATGTTCATTAAAATTAATAAAATTTAATAATTAAAAAAAAGAAAAACTATTTTATCATTTATATCCATTTCAGGAGGAATCTCTGGTGATCACAGCCATAGATAAGTGAATCTCAAAGTGGCTACTTGAAAGAGACCCTATCAACTTGTGGCCATTTTAATTTTTCCTACTATTATACATTGCTGTCTTATTAATGAGAAGCTGATTTCATCACTATGATACCCTGAACTTCACCTTAGGGTGGTAAGGATTTGCTGTAGGAAGAGAATAGTGGGGGTAAAGAAGAAGACTGGATGGGAAAGCTCTCCTTGGGGTGAGCAATGCATAGCCAAGAGGAGAGGGCTGGGTGGGCATCAGGTGGAGCCTTCCTCCTTTTGCACTGAGAAAATAAAAACAACCTCAAGTGAGCGAACTCGTGCTTCCCTTTCAAGATCTACCTGGTGTCCTGCCATGGAACTGCACACTGCCTGCTTGCCTTCCTAAAAGCCAGTGGGTGGTCCCCATGGTTATCTAAGGCCACCTCCTCTATCTGTCCCCCAAATATCACCTCCTTTTTGATGCTTGTAATTGTCTCCCCTTTCCAAGGTGCTTCTTAGAAGCAAGAATGGTGAAAATTCATCTCTCATACTTTGAGCATGTTTGTCAGGAGAAACCAGTCCTTGGAAAAAGACACCATACTGGGAAAGATGGACGGTCAGAGAAAGGAAGAGCCTCAACAAGACAGATTGACACAGTGACTGTAACTAAATGAACTTGAGTATATGATGATGAGGATGGCACACAGTAAGGCAGGTTCAGATCTGTTGTTCAGAGGGTCTTTATTAGCTATAGTTGAGTTGTGCAATCTAACAACACCTAGGCTTTCTGTATTGTAAAAATTTATCGTCCAGTTAATTCTATATATATCCTATACTATATCCTACTAAAGATAATACTTCTGGGACTCACCTCCCTCACCACAACCAACTTATTTCTCATGCTCAGAAATGCACCCTTACTTGTCCTGATAGAACTGTATTCCACTTGTAAAAAAGAGCAACAGTCACATGGGGACAGCCATATCTGACCTTTATCAACTTCACAAAGGAAAACTGTTCCCATCAACAGTGTCAATATAAAACAAATTCCCATGAGGTCAGACATGCCTCCCATGCTCCTCTACCTCTTTCTACTCATCTCAACAGCAATCTTACCGCTTTACTGGGTCCAAAATCCAATGTGATAGTTCACAGTCCACATAGAACCATATCCGGGAAGTTAAAAGGTTATAATCCATCGGACATGTTCTCACAGGCACCTTAGCCTTCATCCTGCTAACATTTGAATATTGGCTTTCCTCCCCACCTCCCAGTGGTCTAACAAACTTGTACAAAGATTCTTAGCTTAACTCTGGTTTTCATTGTGGGGAGTAGTAGTCCTAAAATAACTCCATTGCTTGTTGGGTCTCTGGTTCAACCATAGCTGCTGCTTCCATAGGTGTGGCTGGAGCAAGAATTCCTGGGCCTGAAGGACGTTCTTTAGCTGTTGCTTCTTCGCTGGTGGGGAAGGTCTCCTTCTGCAGCTGGATCACTCAATTTAATGGCGAGATTAGCCAATGCCCTTGTGGATAGGCTACAATGCCCTATTTGCAAATTCCCACTCATCTCCATGGCAAAGTCAAGTTCAGTGGCTACTGTTGTAGAATGGGACTGTCCTTGGGGTTGGGGAGAGACTGAGTAAGATGGTTTCAATAATGTATACTGCACTGAAACAGAGGAGGGAGAGAACCGTCTAAAAGAGAGATGTAACTGGGTATTTCTGTCATCACAGGAGACTAGAGCGAGGGCTGCATGGTGGAGGGGACCTGGGGGAGTGTTTGTAAAACAATGAAAGAATCTTTTCTTTTACTTTTCCATAATTTTTGGACTCATGTACTTATAACTTGTTAGTCAAATTTGTGTCTTCTAGGTTGCAACAACCCCATGATACATCTTGAAGGATATGTACATGTACAGCCAAGCACAATCAATAAGAGTGCATCTGAATTCCAAAATCAATCTCCATAATAGTCTATGTGTTTTCTACTGCCAAAGGGGCCCTTTAGAGTAGTGAGAAAAGATCTTCACCCTGAAACCCACAGCGTCCCTTTTCAGCAGGAAGTAGCTAAGAGAATACGCCGTCCCCTTTTCCTTATGACTCAGGGTGAAGTCTCTCTCAGGGAGGAGTGATAGGGAATGGCAAAGGATACACTGACAAAGGAGATTAATCAGAACTGGCTTTGACAAGCACTGTGGCATTTGGACAAGAACAAACTGGGAGGAGGGTAGAGAGAATAGTGCAACAATGAATGAGTGGAAGCCCAAAATCTCTGTAAATGTTTATGAAAATTAATAAAATATAATTATAGAAAAAAAAAAGTTCAGTGGCTAGAAAACTCATTTCTAATAATGAACTCCACACTATTCTATCATGAAATTCTACCTGTGGAGAGTCCTGGTGATGCAGTTGTAATACAGATGAGGGAGCAAACAACAACTAGCTTTACACATTTGGGCTGCAACATACAGGCGGGAAGTTTGAATTCACCAGCCTCTCTAAAAGAGAAAGATAAGGTCTGGTTCAGTAAAAGATTCATAGTTGGAAACCTTTAGGGGCTGTTCTATTCCAGAGTCACCACCAGTTAGAATTAACTTGTAAGAAGTAGGTTTCGTTTTATGCTTCTATAATGTACTCTTCTTTGCTGATCCTGTAATAACTTACCGAGAAAATTCCCATTCAAAGCCACGCACATTGTTTCTTCTGCCAGGACTACCCCTTCTCCACATATTCACGTGTGCATAATCTGCACTCTCTCCATTCATTCTGATTATTCAAATGAAAACTTAAGGGAGAATTCCTCTTATTAATAAGAATTCCTCTTATTAAACTATGTAAAACGGAATCTCCCTATCTTTTTACTTTTTTTCTTCATCGCAGGTATCATCTGATAACTCTTTCGTACACATACACACCTTATCACTATCAACTTAAAAAAATATCGCTCTAGTCCTAGCACATAACTCCGCCTAGCAAATAGTGGGAGTGCAGTGGTCATCTACTGAACAAACTCTGTCTCAAGCCCAGTTTCCATGAACAACGGGCAAGTGTTATCTCTGAGACCTCGGTTGGGCTCCAGGAATGTGGGCGTACACCTTTAATAAAAACCTAGACGTCACTCTCTTAAGAGACACACGGTAGCACTTCCGCCCTCGCTCAAACCTCGCAAAGGAGGAGCGGAAGGTTGTGTCATCAACCTGCGCCGGCCTGCCCCGCGACGCGCCGGCGGCTGGCGCAGCCCTTCGCTCGCCCGGCCTCCCCCTCCCCGGTTCCGCGCTCTGGTTCCGCCATGGAATCCAACAAGGATGAAGCCGAGCGCTGTATCAGCATCGCCCTCAAGGCCATCCAGAGTAACCAGCCCGACCGGGCGCTCCGCTTCCTAGAGAAAGCACAGCGGCTGTACCCGACGCCGCGGGTTCGCGGTAAGTGTAAGGTGCACGAGCGGCAGACAGAGACATTAGAACTGATGGGGGGAATACGAGAACGGACCGACGGCAGCAGTTGAAGGAGGGGGAGGGGAGTGAGGCGCGGCTACGCCTGCGCCCTGGTGTGCGTGGGGGCTGCTGGGAGTTGTAGTCTTTCTCGCCCACGTTTTTCTGGGATGCTGGACACCTGATGACCGGCTGAGCCGTGAGTTCAGGACTCTAGTGTTCGGGGTGTTTGCAAATCCCTCTGGGAGTTGAAGCCCTCAAGTATGCCACGCTCTGGCAATGAACACCAAAAGAACTTCCCAGGATGCGAAAATCCAACTACATTTCCCAAAGGGCCATCTGGTGGAGCAGGGCCAGGTGTTGGCCTGGGAAATATTATACAGTCAGTCTCTGAGTTACGAACGTTCCTCAGACTAGTTCTGTACCTGTTAAGTGTGTTATGTTACAAATTCGAGGTCCATGCAATGGTTGGTCATAACAAGCAGGTGCTACTTTGCACATAAAAACATGTTAAAGATGTTTTCGTCTATCTGAAATTATTTTTGTCATGTTTTTATGGATAGACAGTTTCACTGATTACTAAAACATTTAACAGACATTAGATACAAGCATACTCGATTGTTCTGATTCATGTACAATTTAACTTAAAGTTAAACTTAGGAAGGGACTTTGTTCAGAATCCGGGAACTGACTAAGGGAGAGAAGGGAGGCTTCTGACCATTAAAACCTCCTAAAAAGTCGCTTTTATTGCATCTTCACACACAGAGCCTCTCCAGGCAAAGGCCGGGGATTGACTGCCCAAACTAGAGCCTGCCTTCCCCCTACCCTCCACTATGCCTTGGACGGTCCATCCTGAGACCAGCCCCTCTCTCCTCCCTTGAACCTCTTGCTTGTGATACAGAATCCAATAGCCCTGTTTGGAGATGTGTCAGCTACTCCCGCCCCACTCATGTTCCCAGAAGTCCATCAGAGGCCAGTCCTATGAGAGAACAGTGAAATTGGCTCTTGTCGTTTCACCTCATGCCACCCTACCTAAGTCTGCAACCTAGCGCTGGTGGCGTAGCCTTCTGTAAGGGGTTGTGCTGCTGACCTAAAGACTGTGTGTCTCTCTGGCAGTTCAGAGATGGGGCTGTCTCCTCATGTGCGATTTATCCTATTGGAAATCCAAGGGAGGGACAGCTATGAGTCAGTACCAACTCAGTGGTAACTGAAATCTTTGTAGACTTCAGCAGCACATATACTAAAATTTGAACAATACAGCAAGGCCTTTGCATAAGGATGACACACAAATTCAGAGGCAGTTAATTGCACGGGAGAAGATTGCCAGTCTTTCTCCCACATAGTCAGGTCAAAAGACCGTGGTTCTCATCTTGACTGCTACCAAGTGACCTTCCTGAGTTTAGATTTCCTCATCTGGAGATTAAAGGGTTAGTGCAGATAATATAAATAGCCGTAATGCTCACAAGGCTTTTCTGTTTAGAAATTTCCTTCATGTGCATCTTCTCATTTGAACCGCCCCCACAGAGTGGTTGAGCAAAGATCATGTCCTTGTTCTGTAGATGAAGAAACTTCTCAGCTGGAAGGGAAATGTTCAAAATCAAGTTCTGTGACCCAGTAAAGTCTCTTTAATGAAAGGACGGAATTGGAGAGTAGCTGCTAGTTAGTCTCCTAACTTTCTCGGTGCACCTTAAGAAACTGATGGCAAGGAAGGGGCCATTGTCGGCTGTAAAAGAGGTGGCCTGTAGAAGAGGTGGCCTGCATGGCCTGAACTTTCCTCCTTCTATCCTCTGCAGGTTAATCTTTGGCCTCTTTGCCTCTTTTGGAGATGTGTTAATGTCAACCTGCCAAAAGTCCCCGGAAGTAGGTCACAGCACATGACAGCAATAACAACAAATAGAAGAGAGGAACTTGAGAGGGCAGGCCCTCAACTGAGCTCTGCCTGGTTGGCTGATGCGCAACAAGGCTTAGAACAGGCAGCCAAGGAGATGGAACCACTTGGCTTTCTTAGCCTTGTGGGACCTTCACATCAGCAGACCTCCTGGACCAGTCAGATGGGGGAGAGGAGTCCATTGTTGCATAGTTGTCATATTTGTGTGGTTTTGGAAAAGGTTAATTACTCATCCCTATCTGCAGTCTTCACCTTTTATCTGCAGCCTTGATCTTTACTGATAAGGACCTGAATTTAGGCTGGGACTGGGAAATCTTGGTGAAAATATAGTTGTTGTTGTTGTTATGTGCTGTTGAGTTGTTTGCGACTATGTACAACAGCCCTAAACCCTGCTCTGTCCTGTGCCAATCGCATTGCCTCTGACACACCCATTATTACCCCAGTCACTGTACTCCTCAGTTTCAGAGAGCAAGGTTGTGTCATCTGCATAACGCAGATTGTTGATAGATCTTCCAATCCTAACACCACGAGTCTCCTCATAGAGCCCAGATGAAACACAGATAGACATTCTTCTGGTATTCTCTGCTTTCAGCTAAGATACATCTAACATCAGCAACAATATCCCTAGTACCATGACCCCTTCTAAACCCAGCCTGGACTTCTGGCAGTTCTCTGCTGATGTCCTGTTCCAGTCGTTTTTGGATAATCTTCAGTAGAATCTTGCTTGCATGTGAAATCAATGCTATTGTTCTATAGTTTCCACACTCTGTTGGGTCACCCTTCTTTGGGATGGGAACAAATATAGATCTCTTCCAGTCCGTTGGCCAAGTGGTTGTTCTCCAGATTTCTTGGCACAACTTGGTGAGCACATCCAAGGCAGCATCTGTTAGCTGAAATACGTCAATTGGTATACCATCTATTCCTGGGGCCTTATTTTTTGCTATTTCCTTCAAAGCAGCTTGAACTTCTGCCTTCATCACCATAGGCTCCTGCTCATATGTTGTTTGATTACATTCTTCTGTATCTGACAATTCCTTTCTATGCAATGACTCAGTATATTCCTTCCATCTTCTTTTGATACCTCCTGGATCATTTAACATTCTGCCCAAAGCATCCTTGATTGTAGCAACTGTAGGTTTGAATTTGTTCTTCAGTTCCTTGAGCTTAAGAAATGCTGAACGACTTTGGCCCTTTTGACTTTCCGACTCTAGCTCCTTGCACATTTCATTGTAATATTTTGCTTTGTCATTCCATGCTGCCTTTTGGAATCTTCTGTTCAGCTCTTTAGTGTCTTGAATCCTTCCTTGTGCTTTGGCTTCTCTATATTCCAGTGCAATCTTCAGAGTTTCTTCTGACATCCATTTTGGTCTTTTCTTCCTCTTCTGTCTTTGTAATGACTGTTTGCACTCTTCCTGGACGATACATTTAACATCCTCCCACAAATCATCTGGTCTTCGCTCATTAGTGTTCAAGGCCTCAAACCTTTTCCTGAGATGATTCTAAAATTCAGGTGGGATGAAATTAAAGTCATATTTTGGCTCCTGTGTATTCGGTTTAATTTTCCTCAGCTTCAGCTTGAACTTACATATGAGTAGTTGGTGGTCTGTTCCACAATCAGCTCCTGGCCTAGTTTTCACAGCTGATACTGAGCTTCTCCAGCGGTTTTTCCCACAGATGTAATCGAAAATATAGTAGTGGTTGTCAATACTGGATGCTGTGAATTTGAGATTAATCCAATGCCTAGACTTTCTTTTTTTTAAGGGTTGGTTTTGTTTGCAAAATCTGCTAGTTGAGACAGTAGGAAAGAGATAAGATGTGATCCCTTTCCTCAAGATAGTTATGCTCTCATGAAGGATAAGTTTGAACATAAATTATAAGCCATGTGATGAGTGCCACAAAAGGAGCATAAGAATAATAGACTCTCCTGGGGCGCTCTGGTGGCCTAGTGACAAGGAGCTGCAACTACAATCCCAGAGGTGCACGGTTTGAATCCACCAGATGCTCTGCCGGGAAAGGAGGGACAATCTCCTCCTGTACCAGTCAAATCTAATTTGACGGTACACGCACATAAAAATAATAAATTTTTTTTTTTAATTTACAAAAAAAAGAATAATAGCCTATCCCAGTGATGGAAGGCTTCTGGGAGTAGGACAAGAGGTTACATTTCATCTCTGGGCTTTGGAAGAAAGTAGGAGACTTGGGAAAGGGCATCCTGGAAAGAGGCACAGAGGCAGGGAGTTAAGGTATAGCAAGTTTTGGAAGCAATGGAGGCAGTAGTTTGTAGAAGAGAGTAGAGGCCAAAAACTAGAATAAAGCCAGATTAAAACCTTACCAGGCAACAAGATTTTCTTTAATATTAACAAATTTGTTTCACATTTAGAAAGCTAGAAGTTGAAATTGAGGGCACTGGTTCTAGGGGCCTGACTCATACTCTTACACTTGCCATCTCTGTCTCTGTTTGCCTTCTCTGTGGTAAGGCCCTTGTCTCTTGAGTGTCTGTTCCTTGGTTTCTTCTCATTGATAGATTCTGGTGTGTTGAGTGTGATTCATAGCAGCTCTATAAACAATAGATCTGAACCTTGCTCATCCTGCACCATCCTCACAGTTTGGCATGCCCAAGCCTGTGTGACAGTTCTGGGTTATTCCATTTCATTGAAGGTCTTCTCTTTCACCAACCCTCTACCTTTCCCAGTGTCATATCTTTAATGACTGTTCCTCCTGAAATCATGCCAAAGTAAGTGAGACGAGAGCACGCTGCTTATATTGCCACTGATACAGATTGGTTTCTTTTGACAATTTATGGTGTATTAACTACTCTTCAGCAATACCACAATTCAAGGGTGCATAGGAAGGAATTGAAAAAAAAAAAAAACAGTTTTCAATTTCATGGATCAGGTGCACCTTAGTCTTTAAAGTTACATCCTTGCTCTTTAGGTCTTTGGAGTAGTCCTTGAAAGCAAATTTCTCAAATGCAGCAAATTTTTTGATTTCTTGACTGCTGCTACCAAGGGTATAGATTGTGGATCTGATTAAAATAAAGTCCTTGACAAATTCAGTCTTTTATCCAGCTATCATGGTATTGCTTATGGTTTTCTTCATCTTG